CTGTGCGTGCTGTGCGCGGAGCGGATGGTTTTCGTCCATGTGGACATGGTGTGTGGGATCCTGGACGGCTCTGCATGGTATGTGTTGTGCGGGGTGCATGCGGGTGTGCGTGTGGTGTGCTGCGGTGCATGCGGGTGTGCCTGTGGTGTGCTGCGGTGCGGATGGGCGTGCGTGCGGGTGAGGGTGGCAGGCGTCGGAGAAGAAGGCAAGCAACCCGATGCGGGAGATCAAGGTGCAGAAGCTCGTGCTCAACATTTGCGTCGGAGAGAGCGGCGATCGCCTCACGCGCGCTGCCAAGGTGGGATTAGCTTTCTTTCGCGCTGAGATCAGATGCCACTTGCGCTGCCAAAGTTGGATTGTTTTCCTCTCGCGCTCGGCCAAGGTTGGGTTAGGTGCGTCACGCCCGCTCGTGCGCTGCTACCCGGCGGGGTCAACCAGCATTTTACTCCTCGCAGCCTGCCTACTGTTGTGTCAATCCGTCTTCGCGAATCGCCTCTTGCAATCAGCCTCGCGCGCCTCGCTGCGGTGTGCGCAACTCACGGACTGCAGTGGCGCCTTAAGCTGGCCTCGGTAGTTCGCCTCGCGTAGCGTGTTCTGCCACCTTTCGAACCGCGAAGCAGACAGTAATGCATATCGTGGCTGCGGCGAGACGTCAACTCGCCGTACCGCGCAGACTGGACTGTTTGCAGCATAAGCTCTAGCCCGTTGGTACCGATGAGTGGGGGGAACCCGTTGAGGTGGTTGTAGATGCACTTGGGCCTCGATTGTTGCTGCCCGGCTGCGAGTCCGTTTGAACGAGGGGAGCAGGTCGATTGACAGGGCGATGGAGCAGGTGAAAAGAAGCAGGTCCAGGAGGGATTCGTTTGCTCGGCGAGGCGGTGCAGGCGGGAGGAGCGACAGATGCGGTAGAAGGCTATGGCACTGAGGGGAAGCAGTCGAACCTGAGGAAAGTGTATGTACCCGAGGGAATGCAAACTAGACGGAGTTGGGGCATACAAAGGGAAGTGGCGACGGATACTGTTGAATACAGGAATATCGCGAGCGGGCGTTAACTATTGAGCAGTGTTCTGCCCGCTCGAGCGATTTCGGGTTTTGGTCGATTTAGGGTTCCGTTAGTCGTACAGGGCGCTGGTGCCGAATTCAGCTACAAGAACGGCCGGAGCGCGCCTTGACCCCTAACGCTCGTCGGCTCTCCGTGTGCGTCTGCCGCATGTCCGCGTGGCCGCGCTCGCGCCCCGTCCATCCCTCCACGTCGTAGCCGTACTCGCCGCTGTTGCGCTACCCAAGTCACACAAATCGCTATCAACTCACTTTCCTGTCGCTCACACGTGCACCCCTTCCCTTCCCCCTTGCCCCTATGCCCCTTCCAACCCCGTCTGCCCTCCCCGCCCTCGCCTGCCCTCCATTCTCCGCTCGACCTCTCTTTCCCACGCTTCTCGACCCGCGTGCTAGGGCAGGTGCTGGAGCAGCTGAGCGTCAAGTGCCCGTCTTCCTCCAAGGGTCAGTCTCCCTGCCTTAGCCCCACCCCACACACGTGCTCTTTCGTCCACTCCCTCATCCCTTAGTTCCGCTCGCCCGTTTTCTCTCCCCCCCTCCCCCATCCGCTCCCTTCCCCAGACGCCGTGTTACTTTCGCTAATCGCTGTTTCCCGTGTTTGCATTGACCCATGACCCCTTGGCTTTCACCTGCCGTTGTTTGTCGCGTCCTCAGCCTCACTCTCAACCTCGTCTTGTCGTCTTCACTCATCTCCTCTCCCCTCTTCTCGCCGTTCGCCCCGCGCCCCGCGCCCCTCGCCCCTCGCCCCGCACCCCCTCGCCCCTGGCCCTGCTGCAGCGCGCTACACGGTGCGGTCGTTTCGGCATTCGGCGTAACGAGAAGATCGCGTGCTACGTGACAGTTCGCGGCGAGAAGGCGCTGCAGCTCATTGAGAGCGGACTCAAGGTGAGTCGGGCTGCAAGATCTCGAGGTGGGATTCGGCAAGATATGCTTTAAGATTCCAGAATGAGCTTCATTTCCGCTCTATGGATCTCCGTACGTTGTTGCAGCCTTGGTCAGTAGTGCGGATGGTCATGGCACATCATACTATCATTTAGGGTTTGCTCGTGGCAGCACAGCACGAGTCTTTTCCCAGACGTCTGTGTGCCTGCTGTATCACTCTGTTGCGTTCGTTCGTGTGATACATGCATGTTAACGCTTTGGGTGCTCCTGTTCTCTCCTAAACCTCTTGTGTGGCTGGCATGGTTATTGAGAGCAGGTGAAGGAGTTTGAGTTGCTTCGCCGCAACTTCAGCGCCACTGGCTGCTTTGGGTTTGGAATTCAGGAGCACATTGACCTGGGAATCAAGTGAGTAGTGGGAAGCACATTGTGCTGGGAGTTTGAGTCTTGAGAATCGAGTGAGTATTGTGGAGCACGTTGGCATGGGAACCAAGTACATAGTAGCATATTCTGGACACCAACCCCATGTCCGTGATGCCCATGTGCATTGATGCAGGTATGACCCGTCCACTGGCATTTACGGAATGGACTTCTTTGTTGTGCTCGAGCGCCCCGGCTACCGCGTGTCGCGCCGACGGCGGGGCCAAGTGCCGCGTGGGCATTCAGCACCGCGTGACCAAGGAGGATGCGATGAAGTGGTTCCATAAGTCAAGTACGAGGGAGTCATCCTTAACAAGGCTCATGCCCAAATCGGGATGTAAAGCTACTCACTGGAGCACGCAGCATGGGCTGCGGGCAGAGTAAAAGGTGGAGAAAGTGAACAAGTGTGGTCAGATGGTGCATGCTGCTGTTTTGTTGCCCACAGTTGTGCAATGAGAATACCAATTTTACTGCTGGCAATGTTACACAATAGCACAAAATTATGGAATAAGCAGCCATATTAATATCTAGCTCTGGAAAATACTGGACTGGAAGTTCCTATATGCGCTCCTTGAATTAGTGTACTGTGCAGAGCTAGCAACACTGAAACCATCATCATGACAAATTAGGCCACCAACTGTCAGAGGTAGCATGCTTCCAATTCTAGTCATCACAGCAGTTTTCGCCGTCGCACTGTCATCACCTCCTATCCATGACGTCCTTACCCTAATCCGTTTTCTGGCTGGATGCTTTACAAAGGTGATTACGATAAGCTTCTACATTATACAGGGACAATGGAGAGAGTATCATGTGTGACAGTGATCCTTGTGAAGAGCCAACTTAATATCAACATACATTGCCACAACATACATCACGCCATCACACATACCAGCTCAAAAGTTTCCTAATACCCCGCGAGTAAATGACCCTACCGAAGGTGCTGTGATACTAATGCAGCAGTATTGGCGGAACTGACATAATTCGATACACCAGGTCTCTCTTCCGCAGACGTCGTACATACAAATTAACAGAACGAAAATGAACGACGCGAAGTGCCACATGCCTCCTGGTTCGAGAACCCTTGAAAGCTGATACTGCACCAAAGGGTTACGATGGCAGCAGCTTATGATAAGCGCCGTGCGCCTGGACACGAGTGGGCTCAGGCTCCTTATTGGATGAAAAGCAGATCTCAGCAGGCGACGTGCCTGACGACGCTCTGCGCCTGCATCATCCTCTCGAACTCGGGGAAGTCAACGAAGCCATCGCCGTCCATGTCGACGCTGCTGATCATCCGCTTGCACTCGTCCAGCGTCCACGCCGCCGCCCTCGACGTTGGCCATCACGCGGAACAGCTCGTCGGCGGAGATCTGGCCGTTGTGGTCCACGTCGAACACCTGAAACACGTCCTTCAGCACCGACCGCGACACGTCGCCTCCTAGGCGCTCCGCCATGGCGTTCAGCGCTAGAAACTCCTCCAAGTTAACGCTAACCGTTACCGTCGAAATCCCCTTCACGCATCATTGACGACACTACATCCTCCGACGCCGAGACGCCGATGAGGTTCAGCGCGGTGGCCAGGCTCCTCCGCCGTGATGACGCCATCGCCGTCCTTGTCGATTCTCCTAAACGCATCCGTGAGCTCCTTTTTTTGGAGGTCTGTAAGGCCAGCTGAGACCATCGACTCTGAATCGTGACGCGGGCTTTTAGTCATGCCCATGGTTGTTAGACTAACAGAGGGACTGCGAAGGAAGGCGGCAACACTTGACAGATTGGTTGAATTATAAGGAAAATAAGTTGGAAGACTGAACTGAAATGCAAGGATCACTAGAGAAGTGGTTGGTAGGATCTGCTTGAACGAAGACTGGTAATGAACCGGAGGAGCGAGGGGAGGGATTTATGGATTGTGGCCGTGCCTGGCTGGCTGGGCGTTTCTCGACGTTCGTTTGACGGGGAAGCTGCAGGGAAGCCACGGGGCCTCGCCTCCCCACCCCACCCACCACCCCACGGCCAGGGATGAAGGCCAAAGCGTCGAGCTCGGTCCGTCAGAGGTTCCGCTTCCCCGGCCCCAAATCAAACCAAACTTTTCGCGCGGGCAACCGAATCCCCTCACGCGGTTCTGCGGGGTGCGCCCGAACCTACCCCTCTCGGACACGTTGATTTGAAGCGGAGGTGAGGGGGATCCGCACCGTGTCAGTTGTGGCGTGGCGACATCGAAGCGATTTTCGCCGGGCATTCTGTTTGAAGTGCGAAAGTAGGGTTCCGTTTGTTTCAATTCCTCCCACTCCCACACCACCCCCACCCCAGAGACGGCGATTGCCTGCCAATTCCCCAAGCAACATGGCAGGCTCGGTGGTCTCACGGTAGCTGATTGGCTAAGTTTGGCAGCCGAACCAGCACAAACCTTCGAGCACACCCCATTCGTCGAATCGAGACATTTGGCCTCAGGTCACATATATCATTCAGAACTGTGTGTGTGGTTGCTCGGCATGGATTTGGTGGTTGGGGGGAGAACAGCAAACGTGGACTGCGCGGGTGACCCTTGTCACATCAGTCATGTCATGACATGACACGAAACCAATTGCCCAGTGGAGCACTATGCCAGGTTGCGGATCAAGTCAGGAATGCCTGGGATTCTGTTTCTACGCATACACCTAACCACCGCTATTTTCAAGGGGAAACCCAACCCACTAATCTCGCGTTTCAAAGTTACCCTGCACGTTTTCGACTATTTCAGTTCGACACTTGAATGACTAGGGCTATGAATGACGCCTAATGCTCGAAGTTTAAACTCATTATGCGAATCTTAATCCATAGCGCCACTTCTACAGTACCCTCTTCGAGGATCTGAACAGACTCTCGCTAAAATTTAATGATGCCCCACACAACCCTCGGTCAAATATTAGAAAGGGTGCATACCCCACTTGTGCAAGTGGGGTAAAAATAAACCGAAAGAAAATAGCGGTGGTTAGGTGTACCCTATTCACCTACTAAAACTATTTTGAATATAGATAATGGACTATTCTCACTGTTTGAGAACAAGCATACAATATGTTTGATTCTTAATACTCAAGTAGCAATTTAACAAAGATTGCAGTCTAAGTGAAGACCCCCATACATCTCATGAATTATAGTTGATGTACTTAGCAATGAGGACAAGTTGGGTCTGGAATTTTATTGGGGGGCATCAAGCCCAGTCCGTCTTGTCAAACTGTATATGTTATGCTAGATTATGTAGGCTGTAGTGGGGTAGCCAATGTGGGGCAGAACCCCTTAGGGTCTTCACTTGTACCAAACTCTCTCGATAGTTTCACTCATTCCTAAGTACCAATTCGAACATGGTATTAAGAGCATTAGGTCCTCAGAGCCTTAGGAGCGTTTTTTTTTTTTTTTTTTTTTTTCGGGCCCACCACCTACCACGTGCGGTTATCGTGCTACCCCGTGCCCTGCCCTGCTCTAGTCCCGCGCGCGCCCTGCTAGCAGCCCGTGCGGCCCGCGCGTCGCCTCTGCTGGCCCGCGCGCCGCCTCTCAACGGGAGTAGGGTTTGGCCCCGTCCTCGCTTGGGCGGAGCCTATTGCGGGGGCCGCGAAATCGCGGGAGGACCGCGGTGGCAGCGAAACCGCAGGAGGACCGCGGTGGCCGCGAAACCGCGGGAGTGTCAGAATCCCAACCACTAGACCATTGGGATAAAAGGGCTTATTTCAGTAGCGGGTCAGTGCGCCCATAACCCCCCAGGCAAACGCGCCTGTAACCCCCCCTAGGATCGATCGGGGATCTCACAGTGTAGCTCTACTGACACCCCCCCACACTGGGAGGCCCAGGACTGAGCACAGTGGCAACGACCAACATGTGCATACACCGGGATTCGAACCCGAGACCTTCGCTCTGATACCATGTCAGAATCCCAACCACTAGACCATTGGGATAAAAGGGCTTATTTCAGTAGCGGGTCAGTGCCCCCATAACCCCCCAGGCAAACGCGCCTGTAACCCCCCCTAGGATCGATCGGGGATCTCACAGTGTAGCTCTACTGACAGGGAGGACCGCGGTGGCCGCGAAATCGCGGGAGGACCGTGGTGGCCGCGAAATCGCGGGAGGACCGCGGGAGCCGCGAAACCACGGGAGGACCGTGGGAGCCGCGAAACCGCGGGAGGACCGCGAAATACCCGGTCAACCAGGATACCCGGGCGACGTGCGCGAAAGTCGCCGAGGGTGTTTTCTGCGAGTACGACCTCGGGGGTGGTATCCCGAGGTCGACGTGGCTGGTGAGCGCCGTCACGGGTGGAGTGTCTGCGCTGGGCATATGACGGGGAGTTGGGCGCCAACCAGCTGCACGCACCTGCGAAGCTGGTGCACCATTGTCAGGCGGGTGCAAACGCTGTGCAGCCGACTTACTGCAGCGTTGGCACACCGCGGACTTGCAACGTTGGCAAGCCGCGACTACTGGAGCGCGGTCGACCAAGTCGTGCTGGCACGCGGTCGACCGTGCTGCGCTGGCAGTCGACTAGCAGCCTTGCTAGGTCTGATGTAGTCTGTGTTGCCAATGTTGATGCAATCATTCTGAACTTTTGTTGTCAGGCTTTCCTAGTGAAACTCTTACCAATTTTCCCAGTGAACTAGCAAGCAGTGTTAGCACTTGGAAACGACTAAGGAACGAACGACCGCTACGATCAGTCTTGCCCCGTGCCTAGCCCATAGTCTAGCTCCCGTTGCACTAGTTATCTCCGCATGGTGCGGTGAGCGTGGACGACACCGCGAAGAAACCTTTGGTTTAGCTGACTTCTCACTCACCTAGCTTGTTTGTAGACCAGCGGCTGTGTTAGACGCCATGGTGGACCCCGTAGTAGAGGCGGGTGTCGTGGACACCTTGGAAGCACGGCTGGAGGACGCGAGGAGACGTCATGCGGCGAACGAGTACAGAACTCTCCCGCTGACGGTCGTCGAGGCTGGCATCCGCGCCTTGTGGGCGGCGGAGCACCCCCCTTCTCGGCCTGCATCTCCTCGACCGGTGAACAACGCAGGCGGCGTCGAGGCGGGAGTCATCGCCGCGGGTGGCCAAGTCGGTAGCAGCGCGGGAGGCACGTCGAGGCAGCGAGGTGTGATTCACGCCGATGAAGTCGGCGGCGTTCAGGCGCGAGGGATGTAGTCATCGGCAGCTGCAGGGGCCCCGCGAAACTACGTCAGAGGCAGACGAAGTGAATTGGCGCCGATGTCGGCGACACACGTGACCGCGGGTGGAATTGCGCCGAGCTACGGCTACTTCAAGTTTACGCCGGACAGGATCTCGGTC